TTTCAGGGAAGAAATAAAGATCTCTCAGTGATTTTCCATTTACTTCTAACACTGCTTTCTAGTGATTTCATGCATAGCTATTAAATGAGGATAAATAATCTTTGATTGCTGTGGAGTGTACACTCCAAAGTTTCTGGAGATGCTGTAAAGACAGATATTCCAAGAAGATGGCCTTTCCCTTAGTAGCTTGACAGTAAAACCCTAGTGGATAAAGAAAAAAAAGCAGAGGCCTCTAAAAATAGCCACTCCTACTTGTTTTAACATGGATCCATTGAATAATAATCTGAATAGTGTATGACATGCACTTCCCAGACCTGTCTCTTCTAAGTCAACTGCCACTACTGCCACATGCTTTGTATTTTTAAATACTCTGGAGATGTTCCTTAGCACCACAGGTAGAACACACAGGATAGAAATCTCAGGCTCTTATCAACACACCTGAGAAAAGTTGTATCTGACTGACAGTTTGGAATGTGAATGCTAGGCAGTGTACAAACTCTCTGCTTTGTTTTGTTCTTTTGGGGTCCTGCAATGTGCAGATGTGGGCCCAAATGTGACTAGTAAGATTTAACTAACATTAGGATGAGTCCTCTGGTTTAGATTCTTGTATGAACACATTTTAGAGGAAAAAGATTCTCAGCATCATTCACTCGATTGCTAATCCTGTAAGTTGCTTTTCAGCTCCCAAAACAATATAGGTTAATAGCTTGTTCTTTGCTTCTACTGATGCTAATAGTTGTAGATTCCTAAACTAACATATTCATTATGGTTTACAGACTGGCCATTGACTGCAGTAAAGAATATGACTGAATGACTGAATGAAAATGGATGGATGGATGAATGAATGAATGGACGGATGGACAGACAGACAGACGTATTAATTCCTGAGGATTGTGACAATGTCTATAACACAAGCTGCAATGTCTTCATAGTTTCTCATTCCTGATATTCAAAGAAGAATTGAAAAATGCAAGATCTGTTCCTGCTATGAAGCTGCTGAAAACAGTGATCTGTTTAGAGACTTGTACATCTGTTTGGAGACCCGTTCTTGCTTCAGAACACAGTATAAGGCAGATATCTACCGACCATTGAATCCAGATGATTTAATTAATATACAACTGTTCTTAAGGATAGTTCCAATTCATTATAATGAATACTATTTGGTCACTAAACAACCACTCTTAACTATTGACCTTTTCTTAATCAAACCCTTCACTGCATTTATCAACAAACAAATGTATTGGTTAGTACCATTTTGACATGCCTACAGATTCTTAATTCTCTTTTATAACAGGTTGGTGACAGTTAAAGTTGTGATTTGATATCCCTGTCTTTGAGAAATGACAAGTTCTTGTAAAATCTCAATGAAGTCAATGAAATGTTAACATGTTCCATTAGGTCAAAATAATTCCAACTATTTCTAGAAAGAATTATAGAACAAGGAATTCTGTACAGATCATATGTAGTATTTTTAAATATAAATCCAAATAAATTCCAGGAAATTTTAAACAACACACCCATTTTTAAACTATGTTAGGAGACTATGCTATTTTTAAACCAATCAATGGGGTGTGTTTTATAACGTACAGGATATTTATCATAATAAATGTCTCCCATTTGCTATTTTATTTTTACTCCCCCGATAAAATTTTGTTGATATTCCCAACCACCGCTGTGTTCAAAAGCTCTATTTAACATTCTGATAATCTATTGAAGACCTCCAGCTCCATGCAATTAAAACAGTCTTCCTGCCTTTCTCCAAACACAGATTGTTGGGGGCAATATGTTGACGTTGTAAATCTCCCAGAAAGTGCTGTAAAGCACTATGTGGAGGTATATAAGTGCTATTGCTATATCTAACATACCTTTCTCCTCCTTTTCCCCCACAACAGCCACCCTGTGAGGTGGGTTGGACTGAGAGAGATTGTCTGGCCCAAGATCACCCAGCCAACTTTCATGGCTAAGATGGGACTTGAATTCAGTCTCCCAATTTCTAGTCTGGTACCTTCATCACTAGACCAAACTGACTCTAGTATAGTGCGTATGTGTACTGTAGGTGCATTTGTGTACTCAAAAAAAAAACCCATGTGTTAAGTATTTTCAGAAAAGATCTCTGTATGTGGTCAGCAGGCATTGAAAATGATTTTGTAGTTCTTAATCAATGAAATGTATACCTATTGCTGTTGAAATATACTGTAGATGAGAAAAACTGGTATTCTCCAATATTTAATGGCCTTTCATTATTTGTTATGATAAAGTTATTTATTTAGAGCAGTTCTAGCCAACATCTTTGTGCGGTATAAAGTGCAATTTTTTATGTTTTGGATTTAAACTGCATGGACATTTTAAAAACACTGATTTGTGAATCCCAATATTATTGATTCAGCTGTTTTCTTATAACAGTTATTTAAAACTGTCTACTTCAACACTACATCCAACTTTATATGGTTTTTTTTAATGTCATCATTCTGCTAAACGACTAATTCCCACAACACTGTCAACTTATTAACTAAGACTGTATTACTATTATTCCTCTACTACTAGATTATAATAACACTTCCTAGTACCTTTCTCTTCCCACTTATGACTATAACCGTGTTGCTTGTATCTTTACTATTTATATTGTTTTATTTGTTTCCTATCATTTGATTGCTTATTAGTAACCTATGACTATCATGAAGTGTTGTATCTTATGATTCTTGATGAATGTATTTTTTCCCTTATGTACACTGAGAGCATATGCACCAAAGATAAATTCCTTGTGTATCCAATCACACTTGGCCAATAAAGAATTCTATTTCTATTTCTATTTCTATTTCTATTTCTATTTCTATTTCTATTTCTATTTCTATTTCTATTTCTATTCTATTCTATTCTATTCTATTCTATTCTATTCTATTCTATTCTATTCTATTCTACTCGACAACTGTCTACTTCAACACTATATCCAACTTTATATGTTTTGGGCTTAAATTACAGGAAGGATGATTGGGAATACATACATCTAGTTTTTTCTAGATCATTTGCAGAATTTTTTAATAAGTATGTGGTATGCAATTTGTTATATAGAAATTGAAAAACAAATATGGATCTTATCAGAAATCAAAGTAACCCAGCAAATATGTTTATTCAGAACATTAAGAGACTTACAAATCCATAGTGGCCTTTCTTTCCACAGTTGTAACAGTATGCTGAAGCAGGTTGCACAGAATAAGAGTCAGCTGTCTTGAGTGGTCCTGGTCTAGTCTGAAACAAAAAAATTGGCAGCAATGAAACTTAGTAAAATCCAATTAAAATGAACTAAATTAAAACAATACAGTTTCACCATCCAATCAATAGCAGTGGAATTACATTGGAAAAAAATACATTGCAGTGATATTATACATTAACTTAAAAGCGAAAGCAGAATTTCTGGGAGGAATGTGGGATAAAATATATGTATGGATCTAAAGATAGATAGCATATAAACACAAACATGATATCCAATATGACCATCATAGGAGTACAAATTAACTTAGTGACAGAAGCTGAAATGTTGTTTTAATATACATACATAGACCTATATATACTGTATCTAGCAATAGCACTTATTACTATATATTACTTCACAGTGCTTTACAGCCGTCTCTAAGTGATTTACAATGTCACTATATTGCCCCCAACAATCTGGGTCCTCATTTACTGATTTCAAAAGGGTGGAAGGCTGAGCCAACTTTGAACTGGTGAGAATCGAACAGCTGGCTTTGGCAGAATTAGCTACAATACTTCATTCTAACCACTGAGTCACCACAGGTCTTATATCTATATCTCTCTATATGTCTATATACATACTGACATGCATACAGACAGACAGACATACCCACATATATACATGCATGCATACATACACACACAGAAAGATAGCAAAATATGAGAAAAATAGAGAGCTAGTTTGGTCTAGTGGTTAAGGCACCATGCTAGAAACCAGGAGATTGTATGTTCTATTATCCCCTTAGACATGAAAGACAGTTGGGTGACTTTAGCCAGTCACTTTCTCTTAGCCCAGCTTACTTTACAGGGCTGTGGTTGTGGGGAAAACAGGATGAGGAAGGAATATCAGATATTTTGCTGCCTTGGTTATTTATAAGAATAACAAAGACAGGATAAAAATAATCTAAAAACCATACAGAACCATAGCATAACATTTGAGTGTAAAAATGTATTCCTCTTAGTTTCTGAATTTATAAATTGCCATAAGCCCAAAGTATGATATTACAAGGCTCCAGCTCAGGGTGAACAAGCCTCATTGTATGGACATCTAAGGCACAACTGCTGTCAACGTTTGCTTTCATTTTGTGGGGAGAAAAGTTTCCATTGGTCAGGATTTTCTAAAATTTCTTCAATAGAGAGCAAATATCAATTCATAATATATGTGGAATGAGAATTTCTGACTGCCTCAAAAACAATATCCAGGTTTCAGCAATTACACAAAATTGAAAACTCATTGACAAATGGTTGTAAATGGTTGATTATTTTTTTAAGGCCTGGGCCAGAATATTCTACACAACAAAGGCCTCTACCCATCTCACCACCTGGCCTGGGAAGATTGCATCAGCCAGCACTCAGTTGAAGCCATGTGGTCCAGACAAAGTGTACAAAGTTAGCTAAGACCCCCACCCTTGAGAGTCTGACAGCCAATGGGATAATTTCTTACACAGGAACAGGAAACACTAAGGTGGGGCCCAACAGAGGGCATATAGTTAAGGATCTCTTAGCATCTTGCCCTTCTTTTCCTTCACCCAACATCTTGACGCATGTGATCGTCCTTTTCACTTTGGAGCTCCAAGCCATGTGGTCCTGTCCACCATTAAGCCATCTTTCCAAACAGCCTTCATGTTTCCAGGGTCTTTTTCCCCACTTGGAACTGAACCCAGAAGGATATTTCTTCCAACAAAGGGGTCAAGACTCTGCAAAGTTTGAGAACTCCTGCTCCAAGTATCTAAATTTAGATTTAAGGCACAGATGAATTCTTGCCTTTATCTCCTTCAGATGTGGCAAGGAAGACCACTGCTAGCAATTTGGGAAACCTGACAGTCAAGGAGAAGAGCACTACCTACAGATAGGTTGAATTTTGTAGCATAAAAAGTCTTTTTTAAAACATCTTCATTAAACACATTTTCACTGCACAATAGAAACTGAAGAAAGAAAATCTGAGTTTAGCTAACACGGCTTAAAACAAGCAGACAAAATTAAATCACTACAGTATTTTATATATCTCAAGGAGGAACAGAATTTGCTGGCTTATCCTGGTGCTCTTACACAATCCTTGAAATGAATGGATAGAAAAACGTGAAAATTATAGGTAAACAGATTAATACCACTTTTATCTTGAATTTTTTAAAATGTTAACTAAGGACTATATCCAAGTATGAATACATCCTAAAAAATAATTTCAATCATACAATTAAAAACCTATTGTTTAATATCCATTTCTTAACAATTAACGTTAAGATGTGTGGAATCTTTCTATTTCTGAAATGTAATAATCACCATATTTGAACTATCTGAATACACTCCCAGAGTTGCTTATGATAATTAACTGATAACAATGACTGGTGAAAATCACTTCCACCAAATATTAGTTTGGCACCCAGTAGTGCAGAATATACATGAGAACAAAAAGATTTTATGAGAACATTATGAAAAGTAGCTTTTTTCCATTTCAAATCTCACAAAAATTCCTCAAGGAGTTTTGAGGCTGCAAGAAGGATGTTTTTTTTATGACCTCAAAAAATGTCTGTCGGACACTTCCTTTTGTTTATGTAATTGAAAAGGTCAGATTTAAGGAGACAAATTGAGTACTTGCCATTCAGTTTAACTATGCATTACCCCACTACAGCTGTCCAAAAGTCTAAAGAACCTCATAATATGTTGTCAAGCTCACTAGATTCTAATTATTTCAGGTTTTAAAAAGCATTTAAGGTTTCTGATCCAATAGGTAGAAAATGATAGCAGCAGCTCTGCTATGGGATTTTTTTTTTGTTAAAAACATTTAAATAATCTATATTTTGTAGAGTGATATTTTGAAGATTACTTCACTATCAATATATAGAAGTAATAACCCAGTAGATAGCATTACCTATAAAAGGTCCATCCCATCTGCTATTCTTCCTGAAAGCTTTTCATGCACCAGTAAACTCAGTAAATATCAGAAGATAAAGCATAAGCCGACCACGCCACGGATTTACTCCTAATGTCTCCTCAAAGTGCAGCCCCGATGCAACGATTACAAATGATTTTCTTCTAATGTCATTTTACATAACCCTTTTTTCTGCATGAGTAGTTAGTGCAGAATGAGTGAATGAATGAATGAATGCCATTAAAACAGTTAATCATTATCTGGGACACTGGCCTTCCTCCCTTCTCTGCAAGGAATCTCCATGACAAAGGCCAAGAGATCAAAATGCCAGGGCTGCCTTCCTGGCCTATTTCTAACAGTAATTTTTTATGCAAATGGCCCTGCTGGGCAGCTCCCTTGGTGACCTTGAGATGCCCTTATCTTAAACTGACTTTGATCCAATAAGGCCTTCTTTTTATGAAGCTCATTACGAGATATGTATCTGACTTAAATTTCACTAATTAAAAGATATTATTTATTCGCGGGTTCCTCACCCCCCCCCCTACTATCTTACAGCTACATATGCAGACAAAGGGGAGGAATTATAGTACGCTGTAAAATGGACAATTTCTTTTTTTCAAATTTCAGTTGAGAGCAATCAATCGGTGGTCTTATTTATCTTATTTGCACTCTGCTTTCACTCTGGATTCCTAAATATTATGTAGATATTCCCATTAAATATTTCTTTTAACTATTTAAATATCTATTTTGGTACAGCAGTGCTGGAGTTCCATGTACCCCTAAAGTATTCATTGAAAGAGCACAATTTTGATTACTTTTAAAAAAAAATTATGCTACATTGCCTTGCACAACACAAGGACCAGTGAGTTTGCTTTGTGAAGTTTTCAGTATCCCCACTGTTTCCAGCTTCCAAAAATTCCTAACTTACTGCCCTACAATATATATTGCAATATTACAAGATAGGCATATACTTTTTAAAATATAAATTCCTAAAACTCACTCCAAAATTTATCCCACCACAGGTATAAATGCAGTTCTACTCACTATGCTATCTTCAGTTCTTCAAAAAGTATTAAGAACAGTCCCCTACCCCACTCAGGGTCTTCCTAGAGTTTTGTCATTGACCCTTATGTAAACCTTCACTGTGAGCTCTAGTCCTGCCTTAGGCATGAAAGCCGAGTTGGATGAGCACTCTTTGTCAGCCCATGTGTGACAAGCCAGTCAGTCAATTCCTGTCACCACCAACGGATCGGACACTTGTTGATTAAAAAAAATAGCACTTCCACTTGTGGAAAAACACTAGGAAGACCTGGGGATGGAGGGAGGAGACTGTTCTTCAGGTTTATGACAATTCGCCATGGCCAACTCATCACAGCCAACTTGCTGAACGACAAAAGTTACATTAATATCAAAGAAATGGTGGCATAGAATCATTAAAGGAAGGATGCAAAATGAGGGATAGAATGAAGTGTGAATGACAAAAATTAATTTTTTTTTATTATTTTAAATAATTAAATTGAATTGTTACATTGTCCTGCAGTGAGTTAGCGAGCAGTGAGTTGGCTGTAGCAAGTTGTCCGGTGGTGAGTTGGCCATGGTGAGTTGGCCACAGCTAGTTGGCTGCACCTACAGAAACTCCAAACTGAGTAAGAAAATTAAACATAGCCAAACTCTTGCAAGACCACAAATCTTACAAGAATTAAATATTATATGATGGTACTCTTCTCTTTCTTCTCTTAAAAAAGTGGCTAATCTCTGTTACAGAGTACTAGCATTATTTACTATTATGCTTGGGAAATTTTGAAAAGTCCATGTCTTTTATAAGCTAGCTGAGATGCAAAATATGAAGTCAATACTGTATTAGATTGTCCAATCTAAAGATAAGCTATTAAAAACTATAACCTTGACTGTCCTCCTTCAGTTGAATTCTGCAAAAAACAAAGCTCATATGTAAGAGGTTTGTTGACCTGAGCAACAAGAACTGCAATCATCTTAATGTACTAAAGCAGTGGTTCTCAACCTGTAGTCTGTGGACCCCTGGGGGGGCCGCAATGTCGTCATAGTAGGTCTGCGAAGGCTTGAGGAAATGTTATGATCTTGAGTTAAGTCTTGGTGGTCCATGGTCAGT